AGGTCTACAAGTTTTTGTTATATTAGCCTTTGCATTAATTTGTTTTTTTAAAATTTTTTCAGCAAAAACTTAAAAGCTAAAAACAGTTTTGTTTTTTTTTTAAGATTGACACCTGAGCTAATAACTGTTGCTAATCTTTTCTTTTTTTTCCTTCTCCCCAAAGCCCCCAGTACATAGTTGCACATTTTAGTTGCGGGTCCTGGTTGTGGCATGTGGGATGCCACCTCAGCATGGCCTAATGAGCATTGCCATGTCCATGCCCAGGATCCGAACCAGTGAAACCCTGGGCCACCGAAGTGGAGTGCGCAAACTTAACCACTGGGCCGCGGGCCGGCCCCTAAAACAGTTTTTAAAGAATCAACAAAATCCAAAGAAGTTCTACAATTTCACTCCTTTGAATAATATTTTTACTTTAGTACTAGTACACAATGTGCCTTACTATATTGGAGCTAACAGTATAAATTAGCAGAATATTTCTCCTTTTTAAACAATCAAAATGACACACTATAAATGTATAAGACAGCCGTCCTTTGGATTAATTTCAATCAGACCCCTAAATTACAATGAAAAAATTTTCAGACAAGTCACTTTTCTTCCCCTGAATTCCAATTTCAAAGTTGAGAGAGAAAGAAAGGGAAGGGACAGAGGTAAAAAATAAAACTACTTCAAATCTACCAGAATAAATGTATGTAGACTTTGACTTTAAATGCCTTGTTTAAAAAGTACTACTGCAGGGCTGGCCCCGTGGCCAAGTGGTTAAGTTCCCTCACTCCGCTTCGGCAGCCCAGGGTTTTGCCGGTTCAGATCCTGGGCGCAGACATGGCACTGCTCATCAAGCCATCTGAGGTGGCATCCCACACAGCAGAACTAGAAGGACCTACAACTAGAATATACAATTAAGTACTGGGGGGCTTTGGGGGAAGAAGAAGAGGGGGAAAAAAGGAAGACTGGAAACAGCTGTTAGCTCAGGTGCCAATGTAAAGAATAAAAAATAAAAATGAATAAATAAAAACTACTGCATAATCAAAGTTCCCATATATGTCACTTAAATAATTAATAATTACTAATAATATAATTAAATAATTGCCATTTAATTGTTCCTTTTTAAAACAAAATTCTCTGGATGTCTTTTTCCCTTTTTTTGGTCACCTACCTGGGTTTAATCTAAGAAATCCCATAAATATTTCTTTTCCTTAACTAATAAACCTCATTACTAAAAAATGAAAGTAGCTTTAATATTTTTTTGAGTATCTCTTGATACAGAGATACGTATGTAGAAATATGGGAATAGCCAAAAAATTTCAATATTTTGATTTTAACCCAAAGAATAGCTAATGATATGTCAATAAACCTAAATTTTTAAAAGTCAACTATGTTTGCTTTTATAGACTTTTAGTATTTTCCAAGCTTTTCTTTAAGAAGGACTATTTAGGGGCCAGCCCAGTGGCGCAGCGGTTAAGTTCGCACGTTCTGCTTCTCAGCAGCCCAGGGATTGCCGGTTCGGATCCCGGGTGCGGACATGGTACCGCTTGGCAAAAGCCATGCTGTGGTAGGCGTTCCACATATAAAGCAGAGGAAGATGGCCATGGATGTTAGCTCAGGGCTGGTCTTCCTCAGCAAAAAAAGAGGAGGATTGGCAGTAGTTAGCTCAGGGCTAATCTTCCTCAGGAAAGAAAAAAAAAAAAGGACTATTTAAAATGCTATCTCCTCTAATTCCTTCCACCTATTTATCAAAACAGAAAGATTTTAATGTAAAATAAGTTAGCTTATTGTTGCAAAACTATCTAAGAAAATGATTTATAATGAAATGACTATTAAAACCTCAAATAAAACTTTTATCATATAAAACAAATTTTTTCTACCAAGTACTTTATAATTAAAATGTTTTTATAAGAAATTCGGGGGGCTGGCCTTGTGGCCAAGTGGTTAAGTTAGTGAGCTCCGCTTCGGCAGCCAAGGGTTTTGTCAGTTCAAATCCTGGGCACGGATGTGGCACTGCTCATCAGGCCATGAGGAGGTGGCATCCCACATGCCACAACTAGAAGGACCCACAACTAAAAATACACAACTATGTACCAGAGGGCTTTGGGGAGAAAAAGAAAAAGAATAAAGTCTTGAAGAAATTCATATGATTAAGAATGTGGATACTGCCAGATCCTCACATAACTTTCTCACTTTTTTTGGTAATTGTAATTTTCTTTGATGGTCTTTGATTTTGAAATATCAAAACCTGACTGAAAAGTTTTTTATTTGTCCTGAAGATATTTTTAAAACACTGAAAATTTCCTCACTGATTTCCATCCTATTCTCTCTTTAGAAAAGTAACTTTTATTTCTTTAAAATTTGAAATTTAAAGAAATAACCTACAAAGTCATTTTCTGCATAGTCTACTTTCTGTTAAGAAATTCATAAATTATGAGAACAAAGCAAAAAGTAATATAACTACTATAGTAAAAGGAAAAACTATACATTAATAGAAAATATGTATTAAAAATTTTTTTAAAGAATAGTTGGTCCCCAAGTTTAGAACAAAAAATTCCTACAAACAACTCCTTTCTCCAAAAACAGTAACTATTTTTCTACATGCACATTGCTGCGTGATTTTTTTCTTCTTCAAATCTTATGATGTCATATCAAACCATCCTGCAGCAACATCCATTTTTGTGCACACCCTACCTTTTCTTAACTATAGTTTCTAAGAAGTGTGCCATCACTACTGTATTTGCTGTCAGGATCATTATCAATTTCCTTGCTCTCTTCTGGTAACCAAATTGTATGGAGAAATATCTGAACTCCCTTCTGATCTAGCACTGACTGGATCTTGCTGTTGTTTTGAACCTTTGATTGACCTAATTTAAAAAAAAGAAATACTCATGGGCACTAAACTTAAACTCTGGGGTGAAAAAATGGAGCAAGCACCAGTTTTGTAAGCTACATTCATTCACAATTTATTCTATTATCTTCCTTTGTTTTCAGTGAATCTCATCAAAATTATATAAAATATCTGTATTAATATTTAAAAATTAGAATATATTATTTCATCATAAGTAATTACCAAAAGATTAACATTAACTTCCCTTATCTGGCTGCGCTTTAGTGCTTTGTTTTTCATAAGCAAAATCTAGAAAATTTTATTGCAAATACATTTAATTCTATCTTATACACTTAACCTCACATTTAGTAACTGAAATAGCTTTAGGCTGGCAATATGCCAAATGTTTTAACAGGCAATTAGCAGAACAGAGCACCACTTACCGGTTTTTAGTTATTATTCACAAGAATACTTAAAGAGAACCATGATAACAATTTTATTCTCTGAGACTGGTAATAAACTTTAATAGACCTCACACCACTCTAAGAACACAAGAATACAGCAGCATCTCCACTGAACATTCTAATAGCAAACCACGTTAAAATTACCTTTTAACGTTGAAACACAGCATCACAAAATATCCACGTAAATTAAGGGAAATTTATTAATTAATATGTCCTTACATAAGTAAAATGAATCAGCGAGTAGATGTTTTTGAAGGGGCTGTACTTACAAAGGTAAAACTCTATTTTCTCAGTTTTCTTGTTCTAAACCAAATGTTTTTCTTATTCATTGAGTAGCTTTAAAAAAATCTAAAAGTACAGAATCTCAAATAAACTGCAAAAGACATAAAAATAAATCAGCTTAAAAAGCTAAATTAAGCAATTTAATTTCTAAATGCAAAAAAATTCTTTAAGCTGGTTTCAACCTCAATGTTCCTTCTTTTATGGATATATTGCTATTTCAAATTTCTATTTTGTGAATCAGTTAATAACGTGATAAAACTGTCTCATTTTCAAAGGCTACTGTAGCCTTCTAGTCGAGAACACCACAAAGCTTATTTACCTTGGTTTGGCTGCATATTCATATTTGGTCTGGGGCCGTAGTTTCCCATTGGCTGCCCTTGACTCATCGTCATCTGATTCTGTACTGGCATGCTCTGTGATGATGGCACGGAATGGTTGTAACCTCCCATGGATCCATGGCTGCTTGAAGGCATGTTCATGGAACTGTTTGTTATATTGAGTTGATTGGGTCCAGGTCCCTGCATAGGCATATGGTTAGGCCCTTTGAAGAAAAGTGACCAGAACCAAAATATGGAAGTTAAAGAGATGGTCTATACAAAAGTACCTTGAAAAGCTTTTTATTTTTTTGCATTACCATAATAATACCACCAAACAAGAACAAGTATTTAGTCAATAGCAAACAAAGTAAATGCTTTACATAAATGCTAGCAAATACTGAGTTGGATGGTATTATTCTCACCTTATGGATTAAGGAACTGATGCTTTTTGAAAAGCTATGAACATTCCAAAAAGGAAGAATAATGAGGAAGGACTAGTTTTATAAAACAGTAAAATATATAAAGCTGGAGTAATTAAAAGTGTGTAGTTCTAACACATAAATGAATCGATTAACAGATCAATGGACCCAGAGCAGAGTCTAAAAACAGACCCAAATGCATAATTTAGTAAATAATAATAGTGGTGATATTAAGTATTAGTGGGCAAAAGAAAATTCAATAAATGGTATTTTGACAACTGAGTAGCCATCTGGAAAAAAAACAAGTTGGATCCCTATCTCATTCCTTCCATCAAAACTAAAAATCATGGAATGAGAGGGCCTTCTAAAGTATGCCAGAAAACCCAGAGCCATAAAAGATTGATAAACTAGACTACATAAAAATAAAAAATTTGAAGAAAATTTGATCAAAAAAGAAAACAACAAAATGAAATTAAATAATAAAAAGATAAACTGGGAAAAAATTATCTACAATATATATCACAGACTGAACTAATTTACTTAAATAAAGTAAGTAAATGACCACCAGCAGTAAAAGAAAGGGCAAAGAACACAAATGACCACTTTACACAAAAACTACAAAGGGGGTCATAAACATGAGCAGATTGCTCGTCTCACATGATAAAAAGGCAAATTAAACTCATGAGACCCATTTTTAATCTTTCAGATTTGCAAAATCAGAAGTTTTAATCTAAGTCTATTATGAAGAAAGAGTACCTTCATACATTGGTGAGTGAGTATAAACAGATAAATAATTACTATTTTTATGGAGAGTAATTAGGCAATAATTATCTTATTTTAAAATGCAGATACCTTTAATCCAGCAACTGCATTTCTAGGAAATTATCTTATAAATATACAAATTTTTGTGTGCATGTGTGTATGGATGCAAAATTGTGTGTGTGTATTTATTTATTTATATTTTACAGGCATATTCACAGCAGCATAATTTTTATACCAAAAGACTAGAAACAATCTATATTTCTATCATAAGGGAACTGTTTTTAAAAAAGGAAGAAGAAAGAAAAAAGAATGTATATATGCATATGTTTTATATACAGAGAATCTCTCTTGGGGGATAACTAGACATGAATGACTCTCTGGAACAGTGTCTGAAGAGCTAGGGGAGGTATACCTTCTGGTATCTTTTGATTTTGGTACCTTAGGCATGTATTATCCAGTTTCGTTTTAAATCAGTCAAATCTTTTTAAAAAGGAACCTGAGGGGCTGGCCCCGTGGCCGAGTGGTTAAGTTCACGCACTCCGCTGCAGGCGGCCCAGTGTTTCGTTGGTTCAAATCCTGGGCGCGGACATGGCACTGCTCATCAAACCACGCTGAGGCAGCGTCCCACATGCCACAACTAGAAGAACCCACAACGAAGAATACACAACTATGTACCGGGGGGCTTTGGGGAGAAAAAGGAAAAAATAAAATCTTTAAAAAAAAAAAAAAAGGAACCTGAGACTGAGAAGTGGTTCTGCAAGTTAGATTATAAAATAAAATATTAAAAACAAAACTAAAATAGGAAATTAAAAGCCTAGATACAAATTTGTATGCATAAAAAAGGTTGGCTAAACGCTATAAGGAACTTCTGAAATAAAAAAATATATATATACGTTACTGGTCTTCAAATTTCTCCTACACCTAACTGTAACTCTCTATAATTAGTTTTGGAAGCTCCACAGTGTTCTGGACAACCTAGGTTATAAGTGTTGAAAATCTCTGGCTTATAAAGAATATATCATCTACTCCAGATGGCCTTACACAAAAACCAAAATGTCATGTTAACAATAATTATATTACCCTTCAACCTCTTTGGCCTTGGGCTTGAATGTTATATGGAGAAGTTAAGTCAAAATTCTAATTAAAAGTACCACTATACGAAGTCAGAAAACTCCTAACTTGCTAACCTGCATTAGTACTACTGTTCCAGTTGTAAAAACAAAGAGTCCTGATGAACTAAATGTGGATTCAGCAAGAAGCTACCTCCTGAGTACAACCTGACAAGTATTTATGTCTTTATTCCTACCTCCATCCAGGGTATGGGCCATCAATGTGGAAAGCCTGAGCAGAAAACAGGAGACAGCCACCGAAGCACTATTGCCCTTCTACATGATCAACCACACATCAATCTTCCATAAACCAGGCTACCTGGCCTCTTTTGATCTGAGCTCTCTTTTACTTCATTTTCTACACACATCATCTCTGGACACCAATGCAACCAACAAACACAATCAGCTAAGATGACACTATCCGAAGGATGTTAATTACTAATTTTCAAAATAAACTGCTCTGTTATTTTATTTTCCTTATTGTTACTTATTATAATACTTTTTTTCTGTTAATGAAAATAACCTTTGTCTTTAGAAAGTAAAAATATTCTCAAATTAAATGTAGAAAACACTCCAAAAATTATGGGTATGGGTTGTGGCTCTTTCTACCAAAGCAAAATAGTTTAAAGATACTTCTCAGGTTAAAAATTCAAACCAGCAAATAACTAAATAAGAATCCAGCGGCCTGAAAGATATTCTATCTAAGTGGCTCTAAACTTAAAATAGATAATTAGCAAAGGGAATGGCTCATTATATAAGAAAGCCGACATTATTTTTCAGCTTTTAGTTTTGCTTTAATATCAATTTCCATATTTATATTATGCTATAAACACATGTACTCATAAAAATCTATACTCAGTTTCAATAGTATCCATGAGGAAACACTAAATACATTAGCACTTTAGAGATTGTTGTTTCTTTTCCCTATGTGTTTTTTCCAGAAATACTCTTTCTGAGCTCAATAAATTTTTAAGTAAACACAGAACTCAGAGAAATGTTATAAAACCTTTTTGTAAACAGATTTTAATTTGTAAGCCATGGTGCAATGCCTTTTTTTCCAAAAAGCTTCTAAAGCCAGCTGTATTGCATAGTTTCAGACAGACTAAATTTAGCCAGTTCTGTTCATCAGAGGAATGCTGTGTGTCAGCTACATCAAAGCCCAAGGGCAGCCTGATAAACACTGAATACAGGTCACGTAGCTCTGTAGCTAACAAACTCTAAGAGAGCTTGTACTCGGGGGCATTCAAAGCAGTTTTGTCATCAACAATCTAGTATCCCTTGAGCCCCCATGTCGTTTCAGTTGCTAAGCAACTCTGGTGTTAATGTCTTAGAGGAGAAAAACTTACCAGGCATCTGGCCGTTCATCTGGTTCTGCATGTGTGGTGCAGGAGGACCCCCACCTACCATTCCATCTGAAGCCATGTTGTGAGAGCGTGGAGGTGGGGGAGGGCCGCTCTGATTCATCCCTCCAGGACCCATAGGCATATTCTGTGTGGGTGGCTGAAAGAAGACAGTTTAGTAAAACAAGAGAAACAGTTAGACTAATATATTAAAGATGCATATGGTATAACAGTTGCTTATATTATTAAATTGAATAGGAAGAAAACCACAAATGCATTTCAATTTATTCTAATGCATTTTAATCATGGACTTATTAACATCATATTTAAAATGCCCACAAAACTACACAAGATCGTTAGGACGAACATATCATCTGACCACCCTAGACCAAAAGACCACCACAATTAAAGTATATTTTACTTTATAAAAATCTCAGTAGTGATGGTAAAAATTTCAACATTCTATACAAAAAGAATTCTCATTTACTTATATATAAGGATTTCTAATATGTCTGTTGTCATTTAAATTTTGTTTAAAAAAGTAAGTCTCCTTTCATTATTAATATATTTGGATATATTTATTATTAATGATTGATTTTATCTGAAAAGGTACAGTAACAAAAAACTATAAAAGGACCAGAAACCCCAAAATGTGATATATTTTATACCGTCTGAGGGTGAAAAAAAAAGTGGTTTTGGCGGGGGAATGTTTTAAACCACGAAAGACTCAGTTCAGCCCATTTTTGTGCCGACTACTCCTATAGATCGGAAACATTACTGATGGCCTCCAAGGGTACAGAGACAGCTGCCTCAAAAGGATGCCTTTGGCAAATTTCCTAATGAAAGTGTGAAGAAAATCACTGACTAACCTTGACAGTTCACACAAGGGCAAAAGAAAAAACACAGATACAAGGTGGTCTGCAATACCTGGCTCAGTTCTTGGGGATATCTTAGTAGAGAAAGCAAATGGCTAGTTTCTTTCCAAACCACCATTTTTAAGCCCACAGGAAGATAAGGAAGTAATATTCTTTACCAATCTACTTCTGCCTTCTTTCTCTGCTTCTCTATGTTCTAAACAAAATGTCCATTCCTATCAGTCATTCTCTTCCTCCTACATTTTTAGATGGCCAGTTAGTTGTGCGTTTGTACCACTCCAGATTTTGTGAACACAATCCTCTCTGGCACACTTAACAGATTTACACATTCTTAAGCCATCATACGAAAACACTCAAATCTCCAATCATCTGATAATCACTAACATTTACAGAAATAACCAAGTGCTATTCTAATAGCACCTATTTAAAATTCAGAATATTAATTTCTTCACTACTAAATCCACACAATAATTGCTCTTTATTAAATATTTATCTTCAGTTCTCATCTTAAATTCTTTACCAAATTTGTATTCTTTAAACATCTAATGACCTTGTTCAGTTTTCAAAAAAATTACCAAACATCACCTCAGTATCACATATCTTACTATATTCTTTATCATCTTTCAAATATGGTTGACCGTGATCCTCTCCTGTTTGAAAATAAAAATTCTTCTTCCTATATTCTTGTCTAAATTTTCCGTTGAAAATTCACATTCTCACTCTCAACAGGTATTAGTTTTTCTTTTTCTTGTGATTCAATTAATAAAACAGCATTATTTGTGATTCCCATCATAACAGAGTAGCTTGTGATCAAACTAACCCTCCTGCTAATGACAGTTATCAAATCTAGACAAACGTAAAAAACTGGAGGCACTAAAGAGCACCATACACAGAGAGAAACAGGAGGGGCTACCCCTCTTGAAAGAAGGGAAGCAAAGAAGATCAGCTCCACAATTACCTTAGCTTTTTCCTTAACATTGCTGTGTAACAGAGAAGTAAAGCCCAAGGAAAAAACAGCAGTCCTACTGAACTGAGAAGATAGCTGGCTACTAGAGAGCTGGAAACTAAAAAACAAAGTCCCAGAGAGGAAGAACCAAAAAGAAGGGGAAAATTCAAGAAAGCAGCAGTTAGGAGGCTAAAGAGCTGAGCAGAGATTCCAGATTCTGCCCAGTACCAGGAACACAAAGATTGGAGTGCAGGCCCCATTAATTTAGAGGAGCCTTCATAAACAACTCAAGGCTCTCTGCTGAGACTTCAGAGAAGCTTCTCTTTAAGCTAAGCTCAAAAGTGAAATAAATCAGCCCTAACAAGTCTTGTAATCAACCCTCAATAGGCTCAAGGTGATGTCCTAGTCCTTCACCTACCAAAGGAAAACTTAACTACCTTTGGAGGAAAATAACACCAAGTAGAGCCTCTACACTTGTTCATCCATAATAATGTCTAGCATTCAATTAAAACTTACAAGGCAGTCTAAAAAACAAGAATAAATGGCCAGCACTCACAAAGGAATGAAGTATTGATATATACTACAACATGGATGAACCTTGAAAACACTACACTAAGTGAAAGAAGTCAGACTCAAACAGCCACACATTGTATGATTCTATTTACATGAAATGTCCAGAATAGGTAAATCCAGAGAGAAAGAAAGTAGATTACTCATTGCTAGGGGATGGACAGACTGGGGAATTCAGACTGACTGTCAACAGGTATGAGGTTTCTTTTTAGGATGATGGAAATGTTCTGGAACTAGATAGTGGTGATGGTTGACCAGCACTGTGAATATACTAAAGACCACTAAATTGTACACTTTTAAAAGGTTAAAATAGTGAGTTTTATGTTATGTAAATTTTATCTCAATTAAAAAAAAAAGAACAGATGGACAACCAAGAGAAATAACAGAAAACAGAAAAAGACACATAAGTCATTCATATTTTGGAGTTATCTGAAAGCTTTTTAAAAAAACTGTTTGATATATTCAAGGAAAAAAAAAACAGGACAGATGGAGAATTTTAGCTAAGTCCAGAATTCTTAAAAAAGTGTCAAATGGAAATTCCAGAACCAGAAAATACAATCACTGAAATTAAGAACACAATACTTTAGAAACAGCAAAACAGAGGACTGGTGAACTGGAAGAAATGTATAGAAAATACAACATACCAAGAAATATAAAGGAGAGAAAAAAAAAAAGTGTAGACATGTACAGCCTGGTAGAAAAGGTCTAAGACACATCTAAGTGGAGTTACAAAAGCAGAGAAAAGAAAATAAAACACAAGCAATATTTGAAGAATAGTGGTCAAGAGTTTTCCAAAGCTAACAAAAGACATGAGTCTCTAGCAAATGTATAAAGCTTTATGAACCTCAGCAGGATGTGAAGAAAACCACATCAGAGACCAAGTCCTAAAAACCAAAGTCAAAGAGAAAATCTTAAAAGTAGTCGGGGAAAATAAGACACATTGCCTTCAGGGGAACAGCAACAAGACTAATAACAATTTTTCATCGGAAACAATGGAGATAAAACACAAATGACATCTTTAAAGTGCTAAGACAAAATAAGAAAATAAGCCAACCAACCTAGAATTCTACACTAAGAGAAAATATTCCTCAAACATGAATATGAAATAAAAATAGTTTGAGATGAACAACAGCTGACAGAACTTTGTACAAGTAAAGGAAATCATTAAGCTAAAAGAAAATGACCCCAGATGGAAGGAGAGAACTGGGGGAATTAACAGAGGAATGGAATGGTAAATATGTAGATAAATTTAAGTTTATAGCAACATTTAAAATCACAGTAACAATGACTTGTATGATTTAAACATATGTAGAAGTATAAAATACATGACAAGACTAACACAAAAGGAAGTAGGATAAATGAAGTTAAATTGTTATTAAGGTTCTTGCATTTTTTAGCAGGTGTTAAAAGTGCAAATTTCAACTAGACTCTAATAACCCAATCATGTGCACTGTAAGCTCTCAGGCAAATACTTAAAAATGCATACACACCCCATATAGAGAATGTATAGCTAAAAAACTAGTAGAGAGGAAAAGATAATGCTTAATTGGCAAGAAACGGACAAATAGAAAACAAATATCAGGTTGACAGACTCAAATCCTACCACACCATGTGCTACATTAAATGTACATGGACCCACCATTCCAATTAAATAACATGTGTTATTACATTGATTTAAAACACATCCAACTATATTGTTTACAAGAGGTCCAATTTAAATATAAGGACACAGAGAGGTGAAAAAGATAGACTACATAGACACTAATCAAAAGTACGGTAATGTCACTATATTTATGTCAGACAGTTGACTTAAATCAAGAAGTACTACTAGAGATACTAGAGGGATACTTTATTACGGTAAAAAGATCAGTTCTACAGGAATATGTATCAAT